TAGAATTTTTCCCTTCTAATATTTTAGAAGATTTTTATTTTGACTTTGCAACTATGAAAAATATGAAAATACATATGCTTTCTAATCTCGAATATATTCCTCAGAAATTAATCCTATCCCTATAATGTACCGTCATATTATAGGACTGTTCCGCGAGCTACTCGTAGTAACTTTGAGTAACATTGTGTATACTCAAGTGCTTTCCATTAGCAAATTTTCGAGTAAATGAGAGCATCTGAGAGAGCGTAACATCCCCGTCGAAATTTGAAAATGCTGATGTGTTTTAGTTTTTTTTTTTCTATTAGAGGTGGAATCTTGTAATGATGCTGTAAAAGCATGCCCGATTCTTACTGTTCGCTATCACCCTTTCTCGGGTTGACGCAGCTACGACCCTCTTGCATATGCCAAACTTGCGACACAATACGCCTACGGACTAAACCTTAACCCCTATAATTAACGCTGCCCTTTAAAAATCTTCCGCACGACCGCCAACTAGATATGACTTCGCGAGGGTAAGACGAGCTCCAACGCTCTATTTCTCAACTATCACTTTCTCTCGTTTAGTGTTCTCATTCGTCTTGTCGCAGTTATAGCATGATTGCTGTAATAATGTAGTTAACTTGTTCCCAGTTATCTTTAGAGGACAACATGTAGTGCACGCTGTTTTGGTTTAAATTTAAGTTTTTGTATTGTTTATTTGCGCAACACTGGTGTTCTCACCAGACTCACACAAACCTGTTCCATGAAAATCTGTGCAACGAGCGTAATTTCTCATTTTATTTGTGTTACGCTCTCAGTTTGTATTTTACTTGTGTTTTCCTTGAGTTTTACTACGAGTAGTTCGTGGAATAGACCTTCTATTTTAATGATAACAATCCTGTGCCCGTACAACAACGAGTTAAACTGCAAAGTCGCGAGGAATAAAGAATAACTACAGTCACTCACTAAAGTAACTGGCGACTCTCACTCAAGTCCCATTATATTGAGTGCTCAGTCATATGTAGTTCTCCGAATTACACTTGTTGATCCAGATTTTTATAAATTAGTACGTGACCTGTAACTTAATTTGGATTTACCATATTGTCTGCGATAAAACAATAGTTCAGTTTCCTAAACCAAGAAACTAGTATGAATTAAAACAGAAAACCAAGCAATGTAGAGAGGTATAAGAACAAGTGTATTAAACTGCAACATTCTATTAAAATTTTACACATACCTATATTCTTTTTTTATCTATCGTATTTAATACGAGTATCTTTAGTTAACTTTTTTATTAGCCCGAATCGAACAAAATACCTGTTGTTTATGGCGTCCCTTTATGTACCATACAATGCATCAGACATGTCAAAAATGCTTGAATTGAAATATATATAAATAATTACCTGACATATTTCTACCCATTTGGTATTACTACTCGGATTATTACTATGTTATAGTATACTGGTTCAAACGTTAGCTGATCCGTGACACTGTGTCCAATATTAAACTATTATATCTTGCTCTTTCATTTGTTACTAAGAACTTTCTTCACTGAAGCTGTGTCCAAAAAGTCTTAATCTTTTCTAAATCCGTACCTGACCAGTCTAATTCATCGATCAATTCCTTGTGGAAAACTTTTCTCCAATTATGCATAATATAAACAAAGGACAGGTAGTGTTTCAAGAATATGTGTATATATTAGTATTATTATAAAATAATGAACTATTTACAACTAGAGTACATTTCTTTTTTGAACGATTCTATTCCCATCTATAATTTATGTTTAACAATAATAAATTATCCATCAAAAACAAACTGGTCCAATTAGTAGATTATTTTTAACAATAGCTAAATGAAATTTATTATCAAATTCATCTTCAACCTCAGTATCTTAACAATTAACAATAGAGTCACTTTTAATAATTAAGTTGGAAAATTTTGTTGATATCTTATTGCTTGAATCTAAACCAAAAACCTTACCCAGCATCCAGCACTCTTGTAAGAACAATATCGACATGGATTATCTGTCTGCTAACAGAAAAATAACATATTTCAAAAAATTATATATATTGCCTTTTCCTCACTCTAGCTTTATCCACAAATCCCGTATAAAGACTGCGTCAATTTTATCAGAAAAAATCTACAAAAGATTATCCTTTCAATACGGGATTAGAAATTCTTTCCTTGTGGTGCGCCTTTTTACATATTTGTGTGCTTATTTTATTTTATACACTTGCCTGCACATAACACAAATTGCCACATAAAATTCTACTCACACACACACATATGTGCATGTATGTGTAACTACATATGCATGAGTGTCTGTATGGGAGCTAAGCAACAAGGGCGCCATTTTTACGGATAATTGATTAATCTTTTGGTTTTTATGTAGCCAACAGTACAGAGTCTAAAACTAGTGTCTTCTTGTGCCTGTGCGCCCAGTCCAACAAACTATTGTTGTTCCTGCACTTGGTTTTGGTGCTGGAGCACATTTGTAGGCATCATCAAAACTTATGGAGTTGTTAGTCCTTAAACGGTAAAGGATATGCTGTGTCTATGTCTGTGACTGTGTGTGTGTGTTTGTATATGTGTATGTATATGTGCATGTGTTGGTAACGTCATTGTTTGCTGTATATATGAAGAACAATTGTTTTGTAATCCGCTGAGCTTTCAATTTCTTTGTTTCGTATTATTGTCTTTATGGCAATTGTTTGATATTTGCTCCATTGTCTGCTGACCGTAATGCTTTGATCTTTTTTATCCAATACTACTGATAAGTTTAACTTTTTGATGTTGACAGTAGATTTAAAGCCAATTAGGTTATTTGTGGCCTACTGAAGTGACACCTCAACAAAAACTTACTCTTTGTTGTGAAAACAATTCATTTAATTATCTTATTGTTTAAATAATTAATAAAGTGAATAAAAACAGAAGAGTGAAAAACTAACAGATTCTCATATCAAATAATCACAATCAAATACGAGAAAAAAAGTATTTTAAATAAAAAGATGCTATACTAAATTCCATTGACAGCAACTATAGCAGTTAACAGCAATTATATTCAACTGTTGTATATATGTTTTCTCAAATACAATACAGGCTCCTCTGGGAGGTATGCAGATCTGAGGTCAGTTATTGCTTAGTCTGATGAAGTGATAAACAATAATCCAGTCAACGCGTAGAGAAGGATTATGAAGAAATTTCACACTACTTTAACTCATTTCTGTTATCATTATTATATTGTATGAACAACTTTACAACCACGAACCTAATTAGTAATACTATTTATGATATGTTAAGCATATCCTGTATTTTTGTTTTATTTTTCAAAACTTTCAAACGAATACTATTATGTTTTTTCAAACCTCATCAACCTTCTTTAACGCCTTGCTTTCAAAGTTCATTCTAAGAAACGTAATCTGAATTCGAATGCAATTACGTTTATTTCCAATTACAATGACTGCCACCTTTGTCATTATGAATACAATATCTTAATGATGTGCTTTACAAAATGTTCGCAATTTTACTTGAACTTTGACATTGTCGTATGCTATTCCCACACAAAAGCAACTTTGTTGCGTTTGTGAGCATGTGGCAGCACAATAATGTCGCCATTTTACTTTTAATTTAATTGCTGTTGTTATATTTCCGTTTGAATGCGTCAACTAAAGTGCAAACTGGGAAAGTGGGAATGCGGGAAACTATTACTGTTACTTTCCACTTACTGCCATTACGCTTCTCTATTGTGTTTTCTGCCGTAAAGTTGCATTATTAAATTAGAATTCATTGAAAAGTGTGTCAAATGATGCATACAATGCAAACGCCTGAAATGCCTGAACTGCCTGAAACGCCTGGAACGCATGAGCAACAAAACACCGACTACAAAAGGGAGCACAGCGACGGCATTCTCGAAGCAGCAGGAGCATTGCCTCAATGGTGCGCATAATTAGTTTGTCATTTAATTACAATGCGTCAACATCAACCCCAGCAGTGTTGCCAACTTATTGCACTTTTGTGCAACTTAGCGTTAATGGGCGTAATTATTGCTACAAATTTCAAGTGCGATGTAATGCGTGCGATGTCTTAACGCATTTACAGCACTCCTTGTTGTTGCACATAAACTTGATTGAATGGCAGCATAAGAGCTTCCCTTGTTATGCTTATCGTTATGGTTGCCACATGTAACTTGAATTTTTGAATAACTGTTGGACTTTGGGCAATTCAATTAAAATGGTTAAAACTCTATTATAAATTTCAAGTAAATGACTTATTTATTAAATACTCTCCTCTCATTAAAATTTTTGGATCTATATTAAAGTCATGAAGGGTTTGACTTTCCCAGTCAAAGTAGAAAAAAAAATTATTAAATATTTTGTATGTTACGTAAAGAAATAATGCTTGAAAGTGGTTTCATATTGTTGTCTCACTTTACCATTACTGGATCCTTTTAGCAATAATTGCATAATTAAAATAAAGTGTTTACACTACAACATTACCAAAACTTAAGAATAATATATTAATTCAAATGAAGTGAAACTATTAAAAAACTCTTAAAAAAATCTAATAGTATGAAACCATGCTCAACTCAGACAAGTGAATTACATCTAGTTATAATCCACATTATAAGCCCTCTAATTGAAGTCAAGCAGTAAATAACTGTGTTGCTTTGGCGTTACTATTCTTAAACATTTATAGATAAAATCCGACCAATTGATGAGCTTAATGGCACAAATTGTCGATTGAGATAATAAAAATACTTTTGGTATTTAGAGATTAGAGATTATTGAGGTCACACATAATACCGTAGAATGACTCATTATAGTCGTTTTAAGAAAAATCACCAATTTCGTCTCGTACTTCACCATTTTTTTTTGTGATTATAATGTCGTCAAAATGATTTACTTTGACATTAAAAATTTGGTAAACTGATTTTTTTTTAAAAAAGTAACCTAAACCAAAGAAATTAAATTTACTTTATAAGAAATCAAAAAAATTTCAGTATAAAACAAAACTTGTAGAAAGTAGTTTCATTTTTAAAGATCCTGAGAAATCAACTTTAAATAAATTCAAAATTAAAAGTGTGTTTCAAAGAAAACAAGTATTTGACAAGAGTACTTTTATAATATATCTTACAGATGTGATAAAAAACTCTGTTTCTCACTAATATACTAAACATTTCTACTATAATCGGAGAGGAACCTTAAAAGTTGTAAGTAAAAATTATATAACATATTTATATTTTATATTCTTCATAACCTCTCTCTATACCTTGACTGGATTACTATTTATCATTTCGACACACTAAGTAATAACTGACCTCAAATCAGACCTCCTCGAGGAGTCTCTAAGCATTTTGTCATACGTTAATGGCTTTTCATTATTTGTTTTTTTGTAATTGACATTTCTTTATATATTTCTTTGATATTTGGTTGCTATGCTACCACCTTTATCCTTCAAATTTTTTAATTCGAAATTCATCATAGCACTCTAGCTTTCAACCCAAATATTTTTCCCAATTTATTTTGAAAAAATTCATATTAAATAATATCTTCCAAGAGTAACAACCAAAAAATTAAAAAACTATTTTTATTAAAAACTTTTAGCACAAACCTCCTCAAAATTAACTGGAAGATCAAAAGTCATATTGTTTTAAAGTTTTATATGACTGATTTTATTAAAATAATGAAAATATGGAGCGAAAATTGAAGCAGTACCAGCAATTACGTAGCTCTTGCGCTGTGAATTTATCCAATAAAGAAAGAACTGTGGAATATGTGCAATATATGAATATGGTCAAGGCATCCAATATAGTTAAAACAGTCACTTGCCCTGACTACTTAAACCATAGTGTAAGTCTTTCAAATATAATGCGACTCAATCAGGCATGTGATGTGAATACAGATCAATCTTCTAATGAACACTCAATTCCTATTAAATCTACCTCTCTCAGTACGCTGATGACGCCAAGTACGGTAACTTTGACGCCAACAGATTCGAATGAGTCGTTTAACACTGTTAAATCCGAGAAGAGCAGTAATTTAAGTATTAAAACTTGCTGTAGTACAACATCATTTTTTAAAGCTTCTGATATGATTAAAAGAGCTGAAGAGCCTACTTTCGAAGAAGCTGAATGCTGTAGCAGCAGCTTACACATTTTTCCAGCAAATAACAATAGCTCTCAAATATTTTTGACTAAGACCGCTAAGGCTCCTGCACACCAATATGAAGATTTCGCACAAAACTCAAAGAAAAACCAAATTTCAAGAACAAAAGCCGTAGTTACGCAGACATCGTGGTCTGCTCCTCCTACCGAGGCTACACTCATGCCTTCTAATAAAAATTCATTTTATGAATATGCTGAACCAATATCAAAACCATTGTCATTTCATTTAAAGCGGAATAAAGGTCCAAAGCAATGTCAGTTGGATGTTAGTGAAAATAAAGAACTCTGTGCCTCACGTGATGCATATTGTAGTACTAATTTATATCTTAAAGAAGAAACTGGTACAAAACCGAAATCAATACTAACACGGAGAATATATTCTCATTGTACAGATCCAAAGTTATACCGATCATGTTCTAGTAGTATTGAAGACTCTTGCACCTCATCTAACATATACTATAATAATGGCCAACAATGTGAAGAAGAAACTAAGCGAAAACCAATATCAACACAAGCGCAGGAAAAAAAATCTCGTTATAAGAATTCGAAAAAGTACCAAACATGTTCTTCTAAGAATAATGGATTCTATGCATCGAATGATGTGAATTCTGTCAATACTCAATACTTTGAAGAAGAAACCGACTCGAAAAGAAAATTAATACAAACACGAGGAAAACACACTCGTTGTAAGGAACCAAAATTATACACGTCACGTTTTATTAATAATGGAGGTTCCTGTAATTCACGTAATGTTTACACTTGTCAAAAGGAAAGTTTGTGTTCCGGATGCTACTTTAACTCTGAACGCTTCCACTCTGACGATGAAACTGATGAAATACCAATATCATTAGAATGGCACCAAAAATATGCAAGTACTACTTTATATAATCGTAAAAAAAATGCCAGAGATTTCAAAGCAAAAGATACGGATTACTCATGTTTTGAAGATGAAAAAGCTCCGTCTTCGAGAAGTAGTACCAGTAGCAGCAGCACTTTGTCGAACGGTGATATTATAAGCGCTGTCTTCCTAAAGCGATTAAATGAAATTCTTACAGAAGTTAATGCATTAGAGCAGTTAATAGCAAATAAAGGCAAAGGAGATGCTCCAATTTATGCACAAGAAATTCTAAACAGCATTTTAGGTGAAATACCTATATTACAGGAACACTTATTGGGAGTATCAGTACTGCTCACAAAGGATAATTCTCAAAAATTTCGTGTACAACTGCAAGAAGCATTTGTCAGAGTACAGCAAATAAAAAAACAAATTTCTAAAAATGATGAAGAAATAAAGGACTCAAACTTGAATTTCAATGCAAGTCCTATTGAAAGCGGGGGAGATATGAACAGTTTACAGTTAAGCAAAATATCATATGCTTTCACTCCTACATCAACTAAAATGGTGTTTAAAAAGAAATATCGTGATATTATTAAGTCAAGTACAGAACTTTTGAAAACTTTTGAGTGTTCTACTGCCAAGGTTTACAAATGCAAAGAACCCGTAATGAATAAACCTGCAAAGGAAATAGTTACTATTAAAACTCAGAAAAGACAACTTACAACCATACATAATGACTGCGTTCCTTACACAGGTAACATATCTAATCGATCCGAAGAAGTTGCCAAGTCTAGGAAAACAAAACTAAATATTACGTCGGAATGTGCTGCTCGATCAGGTGCCTCCATCTACAACATATTTCAACGTGGTATTCGTAAACAGCAAGAATTTCACGCACTAAATAAAAAATCGCAAAAATCTGATCGAACCTTCATCATAGCTAAAACAACACCAACGGATTTAATCACAACACTCGAAGCACCAACTCCTTTCGTAGATGACTCCAAAGCGGTTAAAGAATATGAAAGTGAAGTTGACTCAAGTAACACTGAACAATTACAAGTAGATAGCGACAATGAGATCGTTCGACGAACTGTGATGAATCCCAACACAAAGAGTGGTAGGTGTGGTTCAAGTTGTTTTAGAAAGACAAGCGATAATAAATTCAAAACTTCCTACCATATGCACTCACATGTAGTGTTAAGAGGTGAAGAAATAAATGGTGAGGATGTTGTTATAACTAATATATGCAATAGTATTATTGAAATCCAGGGAACACCAAACAGTTTGGAAATTCGAGAAGTATGGAATTGCCTGCTGGCATGTGGACCAGTCGCCAAGTCAATCAAAATTTTTAATTGTCGTGAGGCGGCAGTAATGGTAGCAGGAAGAAAACTAAGTATTAAATCAAGTTCTTTGTGTTTCCTCTTACTTTACATAACACACCGTACAACACTTAGAAAGTCTACGGGCCTGTTAATTGGACCTTATAGCTTTTATTATAAAGGAATTGAAAATGATTTTATTAAAACTGTCATCACATGTACCAAAACGAAATTCAATATCGTTGACTATAGCAATAAGTTAAAGCAAAATTCATCCAATTGGGGATTTTTACCGGAATGCCACGTACCCAATTGGAATTCTGTAAATGAAGATTTCAAAAAATTCGTATATTCACAATTTCCACGCTAGTGTCTACACTTTGTCTACATATGCCTAAGTACTGCAAGATAATATCGCTTTTTCATATATTCATGTATTTTACATACATACCGCCTTATTATAGTTTTTAATACAAATAAACCTTTCATATACAACAATAATAATGAGTGGCTATTTTTTTTCGAATTCTGAAATCTGATATGTATCCCAAAAACTTATGGCAGAGTGCACACAATTCTAAGCAACATTGAAACACATACAACACAAGTTCAATCCGATCACCAAATATTTTGTGCATATAGATATGCAATGCAATTGCTCAACGTTTACATCAGTTGATATAAGATTTTTTTATGTTTTACACGTAGAAACCAAAAATCAATTGGTTTTTACCTTTCCCTGCATTTTAACTTTAGCACGAATAATCGAATACATTGGTTTTCATAATGTGGAATGAATCACCTGATTTCTTATGGCACAACTAATTTAAACTTAAACGTAGCAAAAGTCTTATATCTGCTGATAGAAACATTAAGGAATTATTTTGCATTTTGTTATTTAATACTAGTATGGAATGTTTTTATGGGTCATTTAAAAATATTGAAAGCTTATGCAATGAACTATGAATTTAAAGTTGTCATTGTTATGGTTTATTTAATTTCGCAACTTCAAATAATGTGTCAAGTCCAAATTTTGTACAGTTAGAAGTGTATCGCATAGCATGCAATATAATTTACAGATTTCTATGTCCATAACATAACATAAAAATAGCTAGTTTAAGCATATAACATACCAACACAGTAATGTATCGTACCGGTACACCTCTATACAACCAAATTGAATAATATTTTACTATATATATATATATATATGTTACTATATTGTATTGTTATATACTATGCTATATATTATATTACATTAAATATATTATTAATAAAGAAGTAACAACTGAAAAGCTTTCGTCATTTATTAATGTCAAATTAAAATTAAATTCTATATCTTAAATTTTATTAAAAATTATTATTCCACAAAAAATTTCTGTGAATCAAGTTTACACACACTTTGCAACACTAAAAATAGAGTTTGAGAAGTCTAACATTCTACAAGTCTGGCAGTTTGTATTTTTGTCAATTGTCAGAAGTTTCCAGAACTTTATTTGATTAAGTTACACGGTGAAGGCGCGGATCGTGTTTCTGTATTGTAAGGACGCTAAATTCGAGTACTTGTATTTTTAATTGTGATTTGTTTCATACTAAAGTTACCTCAACAAAATACTATATCAGTAAGTAATACTCTTAGAATTTTCTTTAAGTTCAACATTCTAACAGAATCCATTTTACACGCATATGTGCTAATTCTTCCGCGGCGACATTAACTGGATCCATGATATAGAATATGACAAATTTAATGGTTTTTCGCGTAAAATACACTAACTTTTAAAATATCAATTTATAGTTAGTTAGTTGAAATAACTAAAATGACGTCAAGCTGCTAACTTTCTCGTGATTCTAAAAAGAGGACATATATATGTATGTGTACATCAGCATGATGACATCATTTTAGCTATTTCTTATTGACAATATATAGTAATACATAATTTATATGGAAATGCATTATATATAATGTATATACATGCATATATATATGTACGTGTGTGCCTAAGGAGCATTTTTGAATAGCACTATATTAATATTTGCTTGGCTGTATTTATAATTATATGGAGAAGAGAGAGACAAACTTATGTGCGTACGCTGTGATATAGCAAGTGACTGTATATAGCTAAAATACTTGGCATTTTAACACTGAAACAAGTAAGATAACTCTACTGCGCATATTGACTAGCAAATTATAATTATAAAATTATGCGACTTACAGTTTGAAACCTGTTGCTGCATTTAGTGGTACTAACGTTGCTATATATGCGGTATTCTACAGCTAAACCTCTACAATTCTTTCAATACTGAAATAAGAAATACAATGAAACTAAAACGATCAGATTTTTAGAATTTTCTACTCTGTTTACAATATTACGAAGTGATATACACATTTTTTTTGTAGCTGTGAACTTTTCTGGATATTATTTACTATGTCTTAGCTCCTTGTCCGCTCTGAGAGTGTTCGTATCCAAAGGGAAACTTTTAGTACGTTTCCAATGACTTCGTTAGACCAGTTAACTTGAGATTTAAGTAATTCAAGCAAACTTAAGTAAGCACACTGGTCTAACGAAGCCAGTGGAAACGTACTATTAGGGCGGGTGAGAGTAAATCGTTGTTATACTGACATGACAGAAACAGTTATATCTTTATAGTGCAAGTTCTTTAGTACTCTCTATCAGAATCCACGTACATTCATACTGCCACAGTATCATTTTAAATGAGAGCGCATGCTATTCTCCCCTACCTCTAAAGTGAATTATTCAAAAAATGTCCTGCCACGTCCATATTGTTTTGTTTAGTGGAATCTTATCCATTTCTATATATCCTGTTCATAATTATAGTTTTTTTTTTTCTCAAAATTTGAATTAACATTTAACAATATAGAAACTTTAAATAATTAATGAATTACTAAATATTTTCGCTTTAGTTTAATTTCCGAGGACAAAACCAATTTGTTGTAAAAATCAATTGCATGCACACAAAACAAATTTAACATGACAAATTATTGGCATTAAGGCTATTGAGCAAACTAATTGTTGATATTAATAAATTTTTTTAATATATTTTTGCTCTGCAAAATAACTCATAATCAAAAAAAAAAATATTATATTAAATAAATATTCAACCTGCAAACGTAATCAATTCAAAAATTAATAGAACGGATGGAAAAACTGTAATATATAAATTGCTTGTCAACCATTAATTTTGTAGAGATATTCCACCACTGAAATATTAATTGTTTTTAATTTTATAATTATTTTATTAATGAATAATTTTTCAATTGTATGAACAAATTTGCATATGCCTTGTTTTTCATTCACCTTTGTTGCCATTTAGCTTCCGTTAACAGTTCTGCATTCCGCAATGGAAACTTCCTTGAAACTGACATTCAGTTGGCTATGTCTTATGGCTTAGTGAACGAGTACTTCCTTGAAGTTTAACAAAAATTTACAACTTTTAACATAGTTTTCGCTCATTTTATACATTTTAATTTTTTAAACTTTCACAAAACGTAAGTTACAAACAATTGATGTGAAAAATATTTCAATTGCGCACAGAAAGCAGGCTAACTTTCGAGCTAGAAGCAGGTATTGAGAACTATAAAGCGTAACCAACCCAACAAAAGTTTCAGTTTATTTGCAAAGACTAAGGCTTCCCAACGAAGAACGAAGAACGAAGAACGAAGAAATGTAAGAAATGGTTGGAACAGTAAGTTTCCGCCAAGCTGAGCAGAGAGAAAGAAGACAAATTGCAATTAAATTTTCTATGAGAAACTATTTGTCATGTTACTTTTTACTAAGGTGCCTACTTCGTACACCATTTCCGCTATATATTTCCCATAACGTAGAGGGTACTTCTCCTGAAGCATGTACTTGACAATGGGCCTACATTTAGCCAGCACACAATTGTGGAGAATTTAAATTCTAATAAATTTGTCTAACAATGCAAAGAACTTCAAAACTTTTTGCATAAGTTTGTCATTTTTTTTTTTGTGTTGCGACTTCTCTTCAAGGACTTCCACATCTTGTGCACATGCATTCAAGTCTATCGACGTAATTTTGCAGTCTCATTATTTGTCTTACAAATTTTCAAAAATTCTTGTTTGAGGCTTGTGAGGAGAATAATTGGCAAGGATAAAGATGAAATTTCTTGAATGTTGCTAAGCAAAGAAGATGAGTTACCTGGCTGCATAATAATTTTCTAAAACTATTTTGCAATTAATTCCATTTGAAGGACTCTTTTTTCCAACTAGGTAAATTAAAATTATAAAAAATTATTTAAAGTTTTATTAGTAAACGCTGCCAATTTCACTATAATAACTCATTTTTTTTAACATTTCAAACTTATTTTCAATTCCCCAACAAAATTTTGGTAGAGAATGCGATTATATTGATTTTATTTAAGCAAATTTTTAAAATAATCAAAAAACTTCTAGAAAATGGTAAACTATTTAAATTAAAATATTTTAGAAGGTGTGCACAAGGTTATATGTTAGTATGACAGTCACGGGCACGTCAAAATTGGCTCTTTGGGACCATAGCCATTTTCGTCATGTTATAATATGTAGACTGTCACAACAGTTTGTCAAGTTCGTATTTTTACTATTACTTTTGTAGTTCTTGGTTCTGTGTAAAATTTAAAGGAAGTGCATAGACTGAGTGACGAGGCTCTCATTACTGAATTTAAACCCACATTTGTTTTTTTCTCTCTAACTCTCAGTTTTTTAATTTACTTTGAAAGCAACAACAATTTTGATTTTGACGTGCCCGTGACGATACTCTACACGACATAGGCCTAAATTTTTAAGCCATGTAAAAAGAAATAACGTATTAATTCTAAACAATGGTAATAAGTATACCTAGTAAAAATATACTAATTTTAGCTAGAAATAATTCTAACAGAAGTTCTAGAAAACCTTATGAATATTCTAATTATTGTATTTATAATGCAAAAACTTTATTTAACTATCCATTTAATTTTGTAAATACTTTTATAAACAATTTTTGTTACTAATCATTAAAAAAACATAAAAAAAAATAATTTAATAGCTCCTTTTTATCCTTTAAAACTCATTTTTTTATTCTTGATTTCTGCAATTTTATTATTAAATGTCATTTTAAAAGTTTTTAATTATATTGTCAAACAAAAGCGGTATCACAGAAATGTTTGCTGAATAAATACCCATGTTCATGTGCAGCAGTTATGGACTCGTACCTTGTACCTGTTCCTTTCGCAGCATTTGCAACTCATTAATTTTAACTCACACAAAAATCCTATTCAAACTCATTGCATATATGCATTAAAATGAGAATTAAGTCCTTGGCATATAATGATAGCTACGCGTGCACATTCACCAAGTGCAGCTACAAAATATAAAAAAGGATTAAAAAATACAACAAATTAAGCATGCATTTAACCACAGGTTAACTTTTTCCTTTCAGAGCGTCCTTTGCAGTAAACCGATTCGCCACACGTTTGCTTCGTGTCAGTATTTTTCACAGAAAAAATAGCAGCACAAAAACTATAGAAATGTTTGCATATATTAACATAATTTTTTAGCTATCTTTGAGTTGGCAACAGTGGTCATGGCCAAGCCATCCAGTTTGCCAAATGAAGCGTACAGCGCATGTAATCATTAAACATCATTCACTTACACCACGACGCTGGAAGTGAGATTGCAATTATTATTGAAGATGGTTTTCTAGAGGGTATTTAAGAAAGGCTTGAAAACTTTCATAGATTAATTATACTAATTATGGAATTAGTATAACACCGCGTTATCGAATCTCAGAATGGTTACAGGCCCCTCGGGGAAGTATGCAGATCTGAGGTCAATTATTGTTTAGTCTGATGAAGTGATGAACAATAAGCCAGTCACAGCGCAGAGAGGGGTTTTGAAGAAACCTCTCAGTCAATAGAGAATAAAAGTGTTCAAGTGCACTGACTCAACATAATATAGCTTTTTATAACATAATAGCTTCAACATAATATTTGAATTATACACATTTTTAGGTTTTAAATATATATAAAATAAAAATTTAATTAAAATTTCAGGTATGCATTCGTTTTTCCAAAAAGATGTAGACACAAAAATGTTGGCACCACGAACAAGTGCTGAAAAGTATTGGGACCGTAAATACTACTTGCCAAAATTTGGCGAAACTTCGGTAATTCTAAAGGAAAGATGGTTTAATGAAGATGCTGAAGAATTTATAGGTGCAATAGAAATTTCCTCTGCAGATGATATAGAAAAAAAAGGAGAAAAAGAAAAAGAAGTACCTGATATCAATGGCAGTGCTAAGCAAAACGTTGAATTGGAATTTATTCCATTCGAGAAGAAGACATCAACTATGGAAACTTCCATTGAGTCTGATCCTAGCACAAGTACTGAAAATGTTTCTGAACGCTCCGATGAAGATAGTAATATGTTACGTAAAGTGCTTCGTAACGATATAAAGCTTCGATTCGATAAGGTGAAGGTAGATTTAAAAAAGTTATGTGCAATTTCTAATGAAAAAGATCCGAATGAATACGTATTCGAGGAATTATGTCATTGCCTAAATACTAATGCCAACGTCTTTTACGATAGTCTGCTTAAAGCATTGTTCGTTCATACCGGTTCGGAACTTAAGTTATATAAAAAGCAGATAAATCAAGTCTTCAAGAAAATGGAATGGGCACATCGTAAGTTTTTTAATATTAAATTTGAGCGACTATCAGATAGATTCAAGAAATATCTGTACTACAACTCAAATGTTGATTTCAATATGCAAGAATGGACTAAAATGAGTAGAAGACTCTCTCATTTGAAACTATATGGGCCTGAAGTTGATAATAAGAAAATTTTGCTTGGCAATCTACGTGAATGTGTGGTAGAAATTAGTGGTTCCCCACATATGGTGTTCATCAAATGCATTCGCGACTCTTTAATACTTTGTGGACCCACTGAAAGTTCCATTTATATTGAGCTATGCTATGATTGTGTGTTTCTTATTGCCGGAAAGCAATTGCGCATAAAGTATTCCACAAATTGCAATATATATTCACAGATACGCAACATTATTGCTATCGAAGCTTGTAGTGAACTTGGCTTTGGTAAATATAATCTCTTTTATCGAAATATTGAAAACGATTTTGCTAAAGCTGGAATGGTATTCAACGATGACTACACCGGTAAAATAGTGGATGCTAACTGGCCAAACAAAACAAAATCCCCTCATTGGACAGTTCTAGATTCCAAAGTTGCGGCATCAGCTTGGTTTGAATATAAAGAAAATCTGTTAGCAAAAATTCGTAAGGCAAAAGAGGAGAAAAAAGGTAGACAAATAAATATTTATGATTTTTTATATAATCCGACTATATGTTTATTTTACATTATAATTTCCAGTAGAAGTCGATGAACAACTGCAAGAAATTATACCAGATCTAAAATCTTCCCAAATTGTTGAAAAGGAGAAAAATGATAAGGAAAGGAACGATAAAGAGAAAGATGATACGAAGAACAATGATGAGAAGAAAAATAATAAGGGGAACAATAATGAGAAGAGTAATAATGAGGGAAAAAATGATAAAAAGAAAAATGATGAAACGAAGAATGATGTAAAGAAGATTGACGAGGAGAAGAACGATAAAAAGAAGGACGATGAGAAGAAGAACGAAAAGAAGAAAAATGAGAAGAAGAATGATAACAAAAATGAAGAGAAGAAGAATGATGAGATGAACAATGAAAGGGAAATGCATGAAAAGGAGAATATTGATGGAAAGAAGATAGACAAGGAGAAGAATGATAAGAATAATGAGGAGAATAATGATAATGAGAAGACCGATAAGGAGATAAATGATAAGGAAAACAATGATAAAAAGAAAAATGATGAAAAGAAGATTGATGAAGGAAAAAATCCTAAAGAAAAGAACGTTAAGGAGGAGAATGATAAGGAGAGGGAGAAAAATAATAAGAAGAAAAATGATAAGAAGAAGAATAAGGAGAAAAATGATAAAAAGAAAAATGAAAAAAGGAAAAAAACAGTAGAAGAAACAAAATTTTAAATTTTTTAAGTACTATTTATATAAATTTTTATAAGATACGACAATTTAACAAAAGAATGTTATAAATTAAATAAAATATTATACACAACTTTGAATATTTAAATTAATTTTGTCACATTTTCAAGTTTCTAAATCCTAGTATACGGAAATATACTAAAAATACACAGTAGGCGTATTTAACGTGAATTTCCTAATTCATCGAAATTCGTTATGAACCAGATCCTCCAGACGGTATGACAATGTATTCTAACAGTGGTTTCACCCGTCCAATTTCAGATGGTTTAAAACGGGTAATTTGCTTGGATGCATTGATTTGTACGCAAATCGACGAATTAGGTGAAGCACTGCCGAAACAAATATTCATGCCCTGAATGTGAGTTCCACTTTTGATTGTGGGCGACAATAATCCGCAGCTAAATCCTTAACCGTTCAGCAACTGTTTACTACACAGCTACATAAATCTGCAGGTGGAGAATTTAATACCGAATGTTCACCTAATTAAAGTGTCTTCGTTTGGAATTACCATCGGTGTGAAAAGTATTGTCTACCCATCAAAACCGATGTTGGGTTATGTAAAAGGCAGCAAAGAACAGTTAAGATCTTGATTTGGATCAATTGAGCACACAAATTAGTAGCACATACTGTAGCACTTTCATTTAATTTTGAGTATGCATGTGGTATCTAGATCCACTGACAACATGGAGTAAATTTTCGAAGCATTTTTGTAAGAATGCTCACATATCTGTCGATACTGGTAGAGGTTGTTTTCTACAAAGGGAAGGTAAATAATATTCAAAAGTTTGTATATCTTTTCCGGTATGTATATAGCTAAGTACCACACAGAGCTCTCTATATATGTTCGTCGACTTGAACGTGTATCAACATCATTCTGTAGTATATTCAAAAAAGACATTAAACCATTAAGTAATATTATTTTTGAACAATGAAATTTTTAACACCTTTTATAACTAAGAGTTTTAAAGATGGTTAGTTTAATAGAAAAAAAACTATTGAATTTACATAAGTAATTATGAAATAATTTTATCTCTTGAGCGATAAAATAATTTTTTTTTTTTGAGCGATAAAATAATTTTTTTTTTTTGAGCGATAAAATAATTTTATCTTTTGAGCGATAGTTGATAAATTTTGTTGACTCCAAGACGTTTCCTATATAATATTTAACAATGTCTGTCAGTTTTTAATACACTTTCATGATTTTTCTTTTAGACTTATATTTAATTATAAATATTATATATGCAATTAAATGAATTGATCTTTTGTAGTATTTTTTATTTAAATAATATAATTGCAATTTAATTATTTTTAATTTTAATTCTTATTTCAATTGTATGAGTTACAAAAAAAAAAAATATATATATATAGCGAGTCGTCGTTAAGTGCACTCGAACGAAGTTTTCAATATTCGCTTTATTTTTAATTTTCCTACTTTTTATTAAAATGTAAATTCATTTTAAATTGCGCATAAATTCAGTTACAGCCATTGTACAAATATGGAATCATATCACACAGAGATACTGGTTATCTATCTACATGTACATTACTGGATATCCTTGAGTGTGAGTATGCATTTCGACACTTAAGTGCAGACAAAAATGCAAATTTGTTGCTTCGGGTTACTTGAAAATCCCGGCATGATTAATGTTAATCATGCGCCACGATATCGCCATACTGAGGATTTCATTAGTGAATAAAACATTTTACCCACTTTATATGGAGACGAACGACATACTTAATTTGTATGCTTACTAATGAAGTTGCACTGGATTTCTCTCTCTGCAAAATTTTATATATTAAAATTACATTCAGCAACAGAGAATTCTAGGTTCATGTAAAATGGAACCACTTAAATATTGAATAACAGTTTTGATTACTGCAGTATAATCCTCTTGCCTCATAAACGTTTGTACCACAATAATATTAAAAATGGATAGAAAAAAAAACCAACAACTGTGAGAGAAAATTTGTGGTAAAAATTCTGCATAGTGCATTTCTGGAAAATTTTACTTTTATTGAAGTACAGGCGGCAGGCGGCAGGCATTTGAAAAATATTGAAGATTTGCCAAGTGGGTTGAAAACTTTTGAGATTTATGTTTTCATTTTCAATATCCTACTCAATATATATTATCAATAAGCAAAAAGAAAAATGTTTTTCATTTTGCAGTTCACATAATATTTGTAAAGCGCCTCATGCAGGCAGCATAAATTTTGCACGAGCGAACATATGCAATAAAAATATATTTTTCAATGCAAAAGCAGGAAGGAGCAGAGCAAAAACTTAGCCATTGAACGCATAATTTAGCAATTGAATTTAAATTGTTCCACTTAAATTTGGGTTATAGCTTTCTATTTCGTATATCGTATAACATGGATATATAAAATCACCAGTAAATATACTTATACTTTTCATTGCAATTTAAAATCCCAATCCTGTAATGTTGATGAACAGCAAACCAAACCGCCGCTTCTTCTTTACTTGAAGTTTCATTTAAGCTAATCCTTTCACTCTTTTAAATATCATTTCACACAACTTAAGCTGCATATGTGTATTTAAATTACTTTCTTCTGCACAAGCTCGAACACATCTTCGCAGCTTATAGCCAAGCCAGCCACCTTCTCTCAAAGGCAAGGCTTCACGTTAATTAGAAATTACAAAAGCATAAAATGTTTTAATATCCTTTAAAAGCACTTTCGACTGTCATCCTGCGTCTCTAATCGTAGGTGAACCTAATTTGTTTTATAGCTGTGTATTTATATACACTTTCACTACCACACTACCATACGTCGCCGCTGGAATGTATCTGTTGTGCGTATGAGTAGTAGTGCGCCCATTAACCCCGCAAAGCGAAATTAACTCAATTTGAGCAATTTAAAGGAGTTGCCACAGCTACGAAGCATTTAAAATTCCATTTAACAATTTTTTATGATTTTGCAGTAAGCAAAAAAGTATTTAATTTTGTAGCGCTGACGTTTTAAATATGTGCAGAATTGTTGCTTCCCCTAGCAACTGCCGCCAACCAACCAGCGGCGGCAAATACACATGTCCTTGCTGAAAGTATTCTAGAAATATTTATCGGGATGCTCTGGAAATGTTTGGATTGGTATCGTATGGTATGAGACGGTGCCGTCAACAGAGCAAATTGCTTGTTTGTAAACTTTCCTTAGTCGAGGTTCCACTCCTCAATTAGTTTCTATTTCAATTTGTAGTTGATTTCTTATCTTGGCATGTGTAGTTGGCAACTGGAAAATGCAAACAACATATGAAACGGCAATGGCGGTTGCATTATCAGTTAAATATGTTGTCCTAGATCAGCAAATTGCGTTGCTATATTAGATTTTCTGAATATTAAAATATGCCAAAGAATTTTCCTTCAGCTTAGAAAAGCGTTTAAACGGAAAATTGTGAGATATACGATATTACAAGAAAACTGGATTGGTAGTAGTATGGCTAAGTTCGCAAGAATTTTGCTGAAGCTGATTCTTTAAATTTTAACTTACAAGAATTTATAAATATTCATAAATTATTAAATTAGTAAAGTGCAACCTTCTTTCTCTGATGTTCTGATAAATTTTGATTACTCTATATTGGACGAAAGTTTTAATACAATTTGATGTTATTATCAGAAAAATCAGAACATGTGTTATATTCTAAAATTCCAATTCCAAGAGCATATAGAAAAAAATTTAAAGAAGATAAGAATAAAAAGTTCAAATTTTCTTATATCAAGGAAAAAACAAAATAAATTAATCATCCTTCGAATGAATATATGAAAGATACCAAATTAGTATAATAAATGTCGTGAATTTATATTTAAAATTATAATTCCATATTTTAGATAATTTTTTTTTAAAATAACTTTATCATGACTTTATTTTATCTTTAGCAACCATGGAAGTAACTTTAGAAGTTAAATAATTATTGATAGTTTGAAGTCAAATGCCTGAGAAAAGAATTATTTTTTCTGCAAAAAGATTTCAATTTAAGTTATAAATTTCATAATTTAAAACATTAAATATTACATAATTATTAAATATACTATATATATAAATATATAAGGGTGGAATTTAATATACCCTGGAGCTTTATCGGGAATATTCAGTATAAGAGCCCCTCTAATGGTTTTCTATTAATAAATTTTGTTTTTCTTCATTAGCCTGCCTCCAGGCCCCGCTTAGGTTTATTTGTTCTTCTCTTTCTATTCGATTGTTCATCAGTAAGAACAAAGGAACTTTTAAATTATGTCTACTCAAGAGAATAGATGTACTCACATTTATCAAGATAATCGCTAATTACAGGAATGGAAAAATATCCGTTAATCAGTCACTTTAGTCAACCAAACAAATATTAATCTTATTATAAAAAAGATATAAAATATTTATTATTTATTTGAATATTATTTATAAATAATAAGTTTTGACTTAGGTTGTCTAATATATGAAATGAGTGATGAAAGATTAGTTTCTCACTACAAATCTTTGAGAATAGTTTAGATTAATTAATATAAGAGAAATAAAATGTATATTTAATCACACATTACTATTTATAAAATATATCTTGCATATTTTTATAACGCATTCTATTAATAAAGTTTAATTTTATAATTTTTTCTAAGCAATTTAAAAGGACTTAACAATATTTTATTTTAAATATTTATTAATAAGAAAAAGTTATAAAAACTGTTTATAAAAGCATGTATGGTAAGCCAATAAATACAATATCCTCTTATCCTGTAATGTAAATACAAAAAAAAAGGAATTGTTTAACTAACTGAAAGCAAATATTTATATTGGAAATAATTTGCCGATAGCATTAAATTATTTTGCACCAGTTTTTTGGTTCATAAAATATATAAATCAAGAAATATTCATTCATAAATTTAATTTCATACATTTATTTTAGTAGATT